CCCGCGGCGCCGCGCTAGGTGCCCGCGCGGGGCGTCGCGCTGCGCTGCGCGGCCGCGCAGGGGGATGCCCGTGCGCCGCTAGCGCCCGCGGGCCGCCATGGAGGGGGCGAGCGGGTCGAGCTTCGGGATAGACACGATCCTGTCGGGCGGCGGCTCCGGCAGCCCCGGCAGCATGAACGGGGACTTTCGCGCGCACGGCGACGCGCGGGCCGCGGATTTTCGGAGCCAGGCCACGCCGTCGCCCTGCTCGGAGATCGACACGGTGGGCACGGCGCCCTCGTCGCCCATCTCGGTGAGCATGGAGCACCCCGAGCCGCACCTGGCGGGCGCGGAGAGCCTCCCGCCGCCGCCGCACCACCTCCACCTGGGCCCGCACCCGCCGCCGCCTCCGCAAAGTTTGCAGCCGTCGCCCCCGCAGCCGCCGCCCCAGCTGGGCTCGGCCAGCTCCGGCCCCAGGACTTCCACTTCTTCTTTTTTAATTAAGGACATTTTGGGCGACAGCAAACCGCTGGCGGCGTGTGCACCTTACAGTACCAGCGTCCCCTCTCCCCATCACACTCCCAAGCAGGAGGGCACGGCAGCCCCGGAAAGCTTCAGGCCAAAGCTCGAGCAGGAGGACAGCAAGGGCAAGCTGGACAAGCGTGACGACACGCAGGGCGACATCAAATGCCACGGTGAGTAGGGCCCGGCCTGGCCGCGCAGCGTCCCGCCCGCCCCGGCCTCTCTCCGCGGCCCCGGGGCTCCGCAGCGACCGTCACCGAGCGGGGGAAGCGGCGCGAGAAGCGCAGCCCGCTGCGCTCGGCGTTCCGTGATCGCGACTGCTCCTCTTTTTAACATCGCTTCGAAATTAAAGCGATATTTTTATCGCTTGAGGCCTTTTCTCTCTCTCTCCTTTTTTTTTTTTTTTTTTTTTTTTTTTTTTTTTAAAACTTGCTTATTTTTAGTGAAATATTCTAACGAGGTTGGATGTGCTTTCAAAAGTGAATGCATTTAAAAAAAAAACCGAAAAAACTGAATGCATGCACATGTTTCTCCGGCTTTTTAAGAACTGAGCAGGGTCGTTTCGCAGCACTTAATGTCGCCAATCTTTTTGCCCCTTCTATCTAAAATAAAAACAAACAAAACATCCCCTGTAAAAAAATAAATATAAAAATAAAAAACACTAAATAAAAAACACTAAAATAACGAAAGATCTTTTAATAATAATAATAAGGAATTAGCCCTAGAAAAGCCGTGGAAGGTTGGAGTGGAGGATTTTGTGTATTTTTTTATTTAAGGATTTCTCCTGTGCGGTGTTACGGAAGGTTTCTCTCTCTCCCCCCCCCCCCCCCCTTTTTTTTTTTTTTTTTTTTTTTTTTTTTTTTTTTTTTTTTTTTTTTTTTTTTTTTTTTTTTTGTGTCTGTGGAGAGAAGCTTCTATAGTCCAGTATTTCTAAACGTAGATGTGGTGAAAAAGAATATGCAATATTAGGTGTAAGTGTGTGAGAGAAAGCGCGATAGAAAGAGAAAAAGGATTTTTTTTCCCCATCGATGCTGGGAGAGTCTCCCCTTCCCGCGGGCTGGCTTCGCAGGAAGCACAGTTTAAGCTGCGAGGTGACAGGACACATTTTTCTAATTTTGCCCTATTCACATATTTTTGCAAGGCTGAATAGCAGCGAGATGCTCGTGTGTACCGCTCATTTTGCTATTTTAGCATTAGCATAAGAGTGCCCAAAACAGATGTACAGTCTGGTCTGGCCATTTTTGTGTGCACCAACCTCCCCAGTGGGTCAATTAGAGAGATTATTGTTCTTCCTGCAGGGAAGATCAAGGAGCGCTACAAACCCGGCTACGAGCAGAGGCGGATTTGACATATCGATTTCCCAGCATTTCGGGGCCGGGGGGGGGGGAGGTGGCGGTGGGTGGGTAGGAGAAAATAACGAAACCCTCTACAACGGGCAAACAGAGAAATCTCGGCGTCACCTGGCCAGCCTCGGCGCCTCCCGCTAACACCGGGATTAATTCCCCGTTTCCCCCGGGTCCCTGCGAACACCGGGACGGGGGCGGCAGCGGGAGGGGGTTCGGGCCGGAGCCGCCGGGCCGGGCCGCGCTCACTGTGCGTCTGGTGCCTCGCAGGGACAAAGGAGGAGGGTGACCGGGAGATCAGCAGCAGCCGGGACAGCCCGCCCGTGCGGGCCAAGAAGCCGCGCAAGGCGCGCACGGCCTTCTCGGACCACCAGCTCAACCAGCTGGAGCGCAGCTTCGAGCGCCAGAAGTACCTGAGCGTGCAGGACCGCATGGACCTGGCGGCCGCGCTCAACCTCACCGACACGCAGGTGAAAACCTGGTACCAGAACCGCAGGTAAGGCCGCCCCGCGCAGCGCCCGCCGACGGCCCCGCGCGGGCTCTTGTCACCGCTGCCGTAATTTTCTGTCTCATTACGTACGGCTGCAGCCACCCTAATTCTGTCGGGAAACATTAGTGTCATCGCGCTGCAATCTAGCCGGGGCGCCATGTTTATTAATTTGGCCGGCATGGCCGCGTGTGTGTGAGCGTGTCAATGTATATGCGGGTGCGTATGTGCGTGTGAGAGCGGGGCCTGCCGGGCCCCGCGGGTCCGGCGGGGGTTGCGCGGGGGTGTCTCGAGGGCCGGGGTCCGTGCGGGGCGGCCGGGCCGGGGGCCGGGCCGGGGTCCCGCTCTGCAGCCGCCTCTTGCTCTCCCCGGCAGGACGAAGTGGAAGCGGCAAACGGCGGTGGGACTGGAGCTGCTGGCCGAGGCCGGCAACTACTCGGCGTTGCAGAGGATGTTCCCTTCGCCCTATTTCTACCACCCCAGCCTGCTGGGCAGCATGGACAGCACGACGGCGGCAGCGGCGGCCGCGGCCATGTACAGCAGCATGTACCGGACTCCCCCCGCGCCGCACCCCCAGCTCCAGCGGCCGCTCGTGCCGCGGGTGCTCATCCACGGGCTGGGGCCCGGCGGGCAGCCGGCCCTCAATCCCCTGGGCAACCCCATGCCGGGCACCCCGCACCCCCGGTGAGACGGCACCGCGGTCCCCGCGACGAGCCCTTCCCCTCCCCGTCCCCAAACGAGCCCCAGCACCGCCGAGAAGGACCCGAGGGGAAGCCAAGGGGCAGGAGCTTCTACCGGCAGCCCGCAGCCACCGGAGGAGGCCGTCAGTCAGAGCAGGGACTCTTGAGCCGCGAACCCCGAGCCGAGCCCGTAAGTGACACGACCACACGCGGGGGAGCAGGGGCAGAGCCGCGGGGCGACCCCGGCGGCCTCGGCCCCTGCGAGACACGACTTGGGGCTCGCAGAGAGAAAGGGAGAGAGAGAGAAAGAGAGGGAGCGGGAGCCGCCCCGAGAGACTAAAGACTTGAGAGGACGGAGGCACTGAGAGAGCCTCCCCCCCCGCGCCCGTCGGAGAAGACCGGGGCAACGAAGAACTTTGCACTGATTTTTCTCATGACATTTTTTTTCTTATTGAAAAGTGGCATGCTCCCTAATGCGAACAGAATTGTACAGACCGAGTGCTGAGTGCTATATCATATTTATTATATGTTGTCCAAAAAAAAAATTCACTTCTATACGTTAGTTTAAAACGAACGAACGTGATTTCTCCCTTCTCCCTTTTCATGTCTTTTTGGATTCAGTAAAATAAATACTTAGATGACAAAATATAGATTTTTTTTGTGACTGAAAAATTACAGGGAAAAAAAAGAGGAAAAAAAAGAAATAAAGTTTATCTTTTTTTTAACAAATGTGGAAATCCAAGGTAGCTAATTTTCCTGGTGAGGAGAACGCAAAAAATGTGCAGTAGAAAAGGCAAACGCCACCCTTTTTTTCTTGGTTTTGTTTTGTAGGATCATTTTTTCCATAATCTGTATTTTTTTCTCCGTTTATATTTTAAAAGAGAAAAAAAAAAACCCAATTCCTCCCGCCCCCCCGCACCAGGTGCCGTGGTCTCCCTCGCCGCTGTCGCTGGCACCTCGGGAGGCGGCGGCGCCCCGGGTGGCTCCGGCCCGCGGGGGCGGGCGCGGTGGGATCGGGCCGGGTCTGGGGCCCCGGCAGCTGTTCCCGTCCACCCGGGCCGCACCGAGCTGGGGTAGACAACGAGCGCCGGTGCCCGGGGTGAGTAACGAGGGGAAGGAGCCAGGGAGAGCAGGGGGGTCCCGGCGGACACGGAGCCCCGAACCCCACCGCCGCTTTGATCTTTGTTGCTGTCGTTTCCCGCTGCCTCCTCTCCGTCGCCGTCAGTTTCCGTCTCTACTCGTCGCGGGGCGCGGAGCCGCTCGGTCCCGCGGGGACGAGAGGCGCGGGGGAGGAGGAGCAGAGCAGACGGAGGGGGGCACGGGTCGGGACTGAGGACTGTAACTCCCCATAGGGCTCTGGGGACAGTTTTGGCCCCAGTCTTTGGAGGAGACCCCCGCCCTGTGAAATTAGAAAGTTATACGGCAATTACCTATAAAACATTCATAAAGTCCAATATTATCTTGTCCTCTGAGAGTTTGGCTTTTTTTCCCCCCTCTCTGGTGAGTTTCTTTTCTATCTGTCTCTCTTTCTTTCTTTTTTTTTTTTTTTTTTTTTTTTTTTTTTTTTTTTTTTTTTTTTTTTTTTTCTCCAAAAGAGTGGGGAGGAAAAGGGAAAAAAAAAAAAAAAAAAAAAAAAAAACAGGGGGAGAGGAGAAGCCAGCGGGCACGTTTATTTGGGTTTTGCTAATTAGCAGGCGGTTTGCGGATACTGCTGCTAATAAACTCGTGTTGACCTCTGCCTCCCTCTGACAAAAGGGGCGCGGGCCGGGCCCGCCCCCGCGGAGTCCTGCGCAGTCCCCGCGGGCACCGAGGCCGCCCGCCCGGCGCAATGCGTTCATAGGGGCTGCCAACGAGGTAGGAAATGTGGGCTCCGTTAGGGCCCTTTGCTTAATCTAAATAACGACTGGCCGGCTGTTCCCTTCAGAAAAGGGGTAAATTGGCTGGAGAAAAAAAAAAATAGTCCCAGCTGCGAGTTTTTCCCTCGATGGCTAAACCTGAGCTCTTATTTTTTTCTTATTATTGTGTATTTTTTTTTTTACTGTGCAAATTCGCTGAAAAGTAGCAAGAGTAAGGAAAATTCATGTGAAATAGATGGAGCTTCTCCTCCCCTCTCTGCTCCGCCTGCCCTTGCGGCCGGGGGCGCGGGGGTGGAGGGCGGCAGCCGAGGGGCGGCTGGAGCGCCGGGGTCGTTCGTTTGGAAATCACGACTACGGCTTCCCGCAGCCAGGAGGGCAGCTCGAGAAGGTGGAGAGGCGCTGGGACTGGGTGCTATCCCTGACGTCTTGGGACAATAGTTTGACTGTCTCTAAAGTGGGCTCTGTGAGAAGGGGAGGAATATTTCTGAAATGTTTTTCCAGGAAAAAAAATGGATTATGTGTGAGTAGGGTGGACGGCTAAAGTGTGAATCCCTCCCTTTTATTTTCCCCCTTTTTTCCCTCTTTGTTGGGTAGCAGGTCTGGAAGGGAAATTCGAGGCCCGGTTCGTTTGTTTTGCTCTGGCAATGGGCTGGCTCGGGTCGGTCCATCAGCCCGCCAGGAACATCCCGGGCTTCGCAGCTTCTTTGCAGCGCCGGGAAGGCGCCCGCAGCCCGGCGCGCTGCGCAGCACAAAGAGCCGCGCGGCGGAGCGGGGGTCTGCACGCCGCCGCTGGTGGCATCGCGTGTTTCAGGCAGAGCCCTCTCGGCTCTATCTGTATTTTGTCCCGTTTTCCTCCTCTCTGCTAGCTTCATTCTGCTGAACCGTTGCGTTCCTGAAGTGGTGGGTCTCTCCCCAGCCTTCCCCGCCACCTTTGGCCGGATCAAAACCTGTTACCGCCCCTGGAATTAAATTTAAGCGCATAAACAAACGAGACTAGCGAGACAGAGGGTCTCGCTTCACGTTAAATCGCTAGAGAGCTCAGCACGGAGGTCTCGGGCGGACGAGACCCCGGGTGTTGCTCCACTGGGCCGCATGCGAGCCGAAGTAAGCGGGAACCTCCGCCGTCGGGGGTGCTCGGGGCGCTGGTTGTCCCTGCAGGAGCCGCAGTGGGTCTGTGGGCGCCCTTGCCCCACGCGCGTGGGGCTGTCGGGGGCGCCGGTCTCCCCGCTCGGAGAGGAGCGGGGCGGCCGGGCCGCCTACAGCACCACGGACAGCTCCGACAGCGCGTCCCGGCCCGCGGCGCTGTGCGGCTGGAGGCGCCTCCCGGGCCCGGCGGCACCGGGCGGTACCGGCTCTGCAGCCCGGGGCGGGCTCAGCTCGGCCCGCAGCGAGCGGAGCCCCGGGCAGCGCCGCAAGCCCGCGGCCTCCGACAGGCCGTGGTGGAGGAGAGCACAAAGCGCCCGCCCGCGGCCGGGCCCGGGCGGAGAGATGCTCTGCACCTCGGGCCCTGCGAGTACGGGCCGGGGCCGAGCCCCGAGTCTTTGGACTGCGCTTTGCCCGTGTGAAGGGAAAACGGCGCAGGGCCGCTCTGCTTCGGCCATGTCACTCCGGATTGGCACGGGAGTGCCTGCTGCGAGACATGGTGGGGGCCTGTGCCTCGCCCTTACCCCGACCCTCCTTGGCTCGCCGTCCTCTAGATCGTGTTGGTGTGTTTTGCATGTGGGCCTGACATCGGAGGCCCCGTCGGGAGCTTCGCCTGCCCTTCTGCTGCGGCCAGAGCCCTGGGCAGGAGCCTCCGCGGCTCCCCGCGGAAAGAGCGGGGTCACGTTTAATTGCTGCCCTCAGGGGATTAGTTTGGAGGTCGCAAGAGCTGAGAGTGGGGAGGTTTGGCGGGGCTTGGCCGCAGATCCGGATTAGCGTTAGCTCCGCTGCTGCGCGGGGGCAGCTCTGGGGAGCGGGAAGGGCCCCCCTCGTCCGGCCTCGTCTCCGACTCCGCCGCGGGACGAAGGAAGTTTCCCTGCGCCCCGACTGCGCTGCCTGCCCCTGCGCGGGCAAATGCAGCCGCGTGCGATAGCGCCTTAACGGCAGCCGCCGCTGCCTGCGGCTTTCACAGCCTGTTTCTTGCAGGGGCGAGGTTTTAGCCTTTGCTGTTTTTCCCATTTTCAGTCTTTCTCTTCCCCCAAATTCACTCGACGCTCCTGCGGAAAGGCACCCTGCAAGTCTCCCTTTGAATCCTTCTCGCGGCCCGCTGCGTAGCTCAGCTCCGGCCCAGAGCGCGGGGTGGGTACAGCTAGGCTGAGCTCACTTGAGGAAGGGACTAGCGCTTTCATAATGTAAGAAATTTCCCCAGACCCAAAGTGATGGGGACGGGCTGCGAATAACCGTTTCAGACTGGAATTAAATTCCTTAATTACTTTTTTTTTTTTTTCTCTCTTCCTCTCCCCATTTATTTCTTCTTGCCATTAAGCCACGTTTCGCGCCGGTGGCTCCCAGCGGGTTCCTTCCTCCTCTAACGTGGAGGGAAAGCGGGGGGAGCAAACTTGACACCCCGGGACGGACCCTGTTCCCGGGCACCATCGAAATTTCCCCAGGGGCGCCGGGTGTGGGGCCGCCGGCGGGGCCCAGGCCTCCCCGGGGACCGTGCGGGGCGCAAGGCGGGTGGGCGCCCCCCGCCGCCCCCTCTCTCGGCTGCCTCCGTTTTCTGGAAAAGCTCCTGAACTTCGTTCTCCCCTTGGAGGGGCTCCTCCGTCGAAGATGCCGTCGTACAGCCGGAGCAGAAGCCTCCCCGCACACGCTTCCAGGCGGAGAGCGGGTCCAGCAGCGCCTCTGTCGCAGTAAAACTCCGCTTCCATATTCATATGCCCTATTTTTCCACAAGCCGTTTCTATTAATGGCAGCGCACGAACGCGGCGCCTCCAAATTAGCGGCTTTTAAAGGAGGACGAAGGAGGCGCTTCGCGACGGCCGGGGCTCGCCCCGACGGGGCGGCCGCGCCGGGGCGGCCCGGGCCCCGCAGCGGCCGGGACGGCGAGGCCCGAGAGGCCCGGGCCCGGCTCGAGCCCCCCGGCCCTGACACGCGTTAACCGCGGCGCAGGAGCTCTCCCGGGGCTGTCTCGTTGCCTTGTCTCCGGGAGCCCGTGTAGGGCGCTTTAA